ATGGAACATATTGTTTTTCATAACTGTTTCTTTAAGCAATAACCTCAGTGCATAATATGTTTGTGCCATTTTGTCCCAGACGAATTATAATAACAATAATGCATAAAGAAGTTTCAAGGCTATGCTACGACTCTTTCAGTACACAATATACTATGGTAACCTTATGTAGATAAGGATGTCCAGACTTTAAGATGCCATCTTGAACTAAGTCAGGAAAATTTCCATGACGTATACACCCTTTAGTTATGGCCTTGTATGTTTGCCAAGTTAAGGGAGGTCCTAAATTGAATAAAGTAAAAGAAGTGTTACTTTTTCATATATGAACTACGGTAACCCTAAAATGGAGACACTTAAGGTATAAATAGGTGTACTTTTAAATGTTAAGACACAGAGGAGAGACTTGGAGACAGACGCTGCTCCATCTTAAAATGACAGAGAGGCTGACATGATGACATGTTCAGAAGGGTATGTTAACCTATTAATGATATTTCAAACAAATAGGTAACGGTTCAGCGCTAAATAATCTAATAGAAACTAAAACAAATATGGAAGCAGCAACCTATAAGGATGAGGTACCCTCAAAAATGGACAAGTAGAAATCTGTAAGTAAGTAAAAAAAAAAAAAAAAACTCCCCTATGGAAACAGATATAGCTTAGTTTATAAAATAACTTATTGTACCAGGTTTCTCTCTTTTTTAATGCCATTTGATAAAGCCCTGTGTGGTGAAACGCGTTCTGGCTGTTAATATACTGTTTTTTATATTGATATATTTTAATAAAGGAATATTGGCTTCTTTTTTGCCTATATATACCCTTTACTATTTTATTTTGTTTTGAATTACCTGGTCACCGATTCGAATTGAAGCACGTTACCACTCAAGAATCCTAGGTGGGGATTATACCACCTGCGCCATTATACTGAGCAGTAGATCCTGCTCATATACATGTGAGTATTTTACCATTTCATTTGTTTTTTTAAATCATACAGTGAGCACTATATACGTCTCTTATTTCTTCACATATCGAGGAACTTTTAAAGATCCCATCACCTATATCCGACCAGTGGGGGATTAACGCCACTGAATGCTGAGAATACTTGAGCAAGTTTCTTTGCTCATCCATAGGTGAGTTTTTTTTTTGTTTTTTTTACTTCCTTACAGATTTCTATTTGTCCATTTGTCGATATTCTGCACCATTGGAGTCTTTTTTGTCTTTTCCATGTACTCATATCTACAAGTGAACCAAGATATCTCCAACACAAGAAGTCTCAGATACTCATTGGACTCTATATACACTCAAGAATCATACAGGCTGATTTACTATTTGGGACTTTTTATTCATTTATTTATTTATTCACTTTTTATATTATCTCTCTATTCCTACAGCGCGACCTATATACCCTTTTTTTTTTTTTGGTCTATTAATGATATTTGCAAGCATTTAGTTTAATCTTAGAAACTCTGCTATATGGATTTTATGTCTATATTTATATTTTTATATAATAAATACCAAAAGGACAAAACTTTATTGCTTCCAAGACCATCCTTATTTTATATTGTATTCTCAATTATTTATATATGTTAAATAGAGGATCTCTTACACTAACTATGTAAAATTATGGCTAAGATATCTGTATGGTTAGCCCTACTAAGTTCTATGCTTTAAGAGGTTATAGTGGTAAATAAGGGAACCAGCCGCAGTTACAAAATCCATTAATGATTTAACGTACACTTGAAGGAGGCCAAGCAATCTGTCCAAGGTAACTCCATGCCTGACCATGTCTCCCAGATTACTGCTACTCTGTACCATGTTCTCCAGGACAGCCAGCGAGAGCTGTGTGGTTTGTGCCACCATTTGATTCATGTTGACAAATGCTACAATCTGGAAAGGATGGAAAATATAATGAAACCAGTTATGTAAATGTTAACAGAACACACATTTTATATTAGAAAATGTTAACAGTTTCAGGCATTTGTTGGATGGGAATAAATACGATCGATCCTTCATTCATTACCCTACTTCATTCACCTCCGCAATGTGCCTGGAGAACTGACATGTAAAGCAGCAAAAAGGAGTAGTTCATACCGGTCTCCACCACCAATTAACGGCATCTGCCAGTGCCACGGTGGGGTTATTGGCATATCCCTGTGTCACCTGGATACAGTCTTCGGGATCTTCTCCAGGCATCGGATTGGTTGGCAAAGCTGTGTTTTCACAGTTCCCATAGCTAGGGAAGACAGACTTTTTCCAATTAACCTAGTGAGGGAAATGTTGGAGGTTTACGTGTCTACCGTTCGGTCTATCATCAGCTCCTTGGTGTTTCACCAAGGTCATGAAACCAGTGGTGTCGTTCCTCCGTTCGAGGGGTGTTCGTCTGATTATCTATCTAGACGACATCTTGATCATGTCCCAGTCAAGTGATAGGCTGCAGTTACATGTCAGCTGGACAAACATGTTGATCCAGAACTTGGGTTTTTCCTGATCAATTGGGAAAAGTCAGTACTGAGCCTGCGCAGTCTGAGTTTTTGGGTTTCACAGGCAGTTCCTGTCCCTCCCAGACTTCAAGACGAAGGCCATAAAGAAAGAAATCAGACGGACCCTCCGGTTGGAGGATCTGTCGATGAGAGATTTGACGAGGATGATCGACCTGCTCGCTGCTTCCATCCAACCTATTTTTCCAGGGACACTTCACTATCAGGCTTTTCAACGTCTCAAGGGCTCCTGCTTCTGTTTGGGTCGTTCTTATTGGGCGACAGATCCAGGGACGAGCTGGCTCACAGGGAAGCCTGGAACGGCAGGGCCATCTTCGGGTCGATCCCGGACGTGGTGATTGAATGCGATGCCAATTTACATGGTTGGGGTGAGCGCTGTGGCACAGTTTCTACCGGAGACAGGTGGTCTGAGTTCGAGGAAACGTTGCACATGAACTGTCTGGAATTCTTAGCAGGGGTCTTCGCTATCCGCAGTCTTACCCCCGGTCGTGCAAACTGCTGCGTTATATTCAAGATGGATAATGTGTCAGCGGTGCGTTACATCAACCACTTATGGGGCACGAAGTCGCGGATATTGGCAATTATGGCGAAGGACTTCTGGCAATTCTGTGTCCACAACGTCAGGCCTGCACAACTTGTGGGCCAACTGGAATTTGAGACTCTGAGGATTGGCGCTTGCACGCATTGGCTGCGGGGACCGTTTGAGGTGGACCTGTTTGCACCCTGACTCAATGCCCAGTTACTGAAGTTTTACAGCTGGACGCCTTCCTTCAGACTTGGCAAGATGCTAAGGGTGTATGCCTTCCCTCAGTTCAACTTGATTGGTCACATGCTCTCGAAATTGACCCGTCACGATTGTACGATGGTGTTGATCACTCCTCTGTGGAGATTGCGAACGTAGTTCCCTCGGTTACTGGAATCCGGCGCTGGAGAAAGGTAAGTGCTTAAGAAACGCATACACACTCAGTGACACATACATACACACTCAGACAGACTAACAGATGCACACAAACTAACACACTCCGTAACAGACACACTCTAACACACACACACACACACTCTCTCTCTAACACACAGGGGGATTCCCTGGGGTCCAGTGGTGTCACCTGGCAGGCGCGCGAGGGAGCACTCTCCTTGGCTGAGTGCTTCCTGTTCAGCTCCCTCGCATCATCTTCTGGCTCAGGTATCAGTGCGGTGCGCGAGGGAGCTGAAGAGGAAGCACTCAGCCAAGGAGAGTGCTCCCTCGCACACCCGCCAGGCTGCCGGTCGGTTGCCACCAGGGCCAGCCTCGCGGGGGGCCCTGAGGTGGCCGGCTCCTGGGCCACCCAGGAGAAAAAGCTAGCCACAGTGGGTACATACCGGGTTGCAGGGCGGCCGGGCCTGGTCGCAGCCGAGACCCCAGTATGTACGCCACTGGAAGTACTAGTTAAGGTAGACATATTGCTGGATAAAGGAAGTACCAGTTAAAGGGACTCTGTAGGCACCCAAACCACTTCAGCTCATTCAGCCAAGTCCCATTAACCCTGAGCATGTAATTATTGCAGTTTTTATAAAAACTTTTGGTCATCTAAACGACGCTGCACGTCTTCCATGTGTCAGAGTATTTATATCGGCAGACATTTTGTGCAATGATAGAAACTAAAAGTGTATATTCTGAGTCACTCTGAACAGATCAGACTCCATTTTGTTATTTCAAGTTAACAGAAAGACACTATATTTCTATCTGTAAGCTAACCACTTTCCCAGAGCTGAGGAATGCATAGTATATACAAGCCAAGTGATAAGGAAGGGGGTTGGACAGATTGTCTAATGCTAATAGAATATAATCAAATCTAAACCCAGACAATTGTGACAGAGAAGATTAAATAATTTAATATTTAACTGTCTATATATATAAGGTACCATTGTATGGAAAAGGGTAAGCTTAGTTCATGATCTGTCATATCAGAAATTATAGCAGATTTGCAGACACATAGTCTGGACAAAATTTAAGAACCCCTTTGATCTTTGAAGGATACGTAAGTTATAGCCACTATCTAGATAGGCCAAAATGACGTCAAAATAGCCACCAGGAAAAGTTAACTTTTTCCTGGATAGGTATGTTTAGTGGGACAAGACTGCCCTCTACAGACCAAATAACTAATTTGCGATCTGGAAGATAACCACACCTCTAGTGCTTCTATTGGGTTATCAACTGATGACGTACAGAGAGTCTGGCCCTTTAAAAGTTAAGAGAAAGGGAAGATAGATAAGGAGGCAGATCCAAGAGATATGCAAAGGAGAGGAGAGAGGAATTGGAAGTTTGGGGACTCCAACTCGGACAACATCTGAGATTAACACTCTACTCCTAAAAATAACACTTAGAATTTACTGACTTTCTAACCAACACCTCCATGCAGAGAGACATCCAAATAAGTTCCTGAGACTACCAATCGGATGAAATATCTACTCAACTGGTAATTATACTGGTTTCATTTAATTAATTAAATTAATTAAAATGTATTAATAGCATTATATATATGACTGGATAAAGCACGGTCAGATTTCCATATTAAGAAATCTTAGTTAACTAAAGAATATAGTTATAAACATTCCATTCTGCAGGTGGAATTAAGAATAATTATATATTGATGTGATATTATCACGTGTTAGCATACCGCTGTTTTTATCCAGGTGTATTGATTTGCTCTAAATTAAGATAGATATCTTTTAGACAAATTAAAATCTGCTTATATAATGTGGTAAATTCTCTTATTGGATGATTTTAAGAAAATGAATTTAAACTGGTTTAAATGTTATTTTATTTAAAAATTACATAAGAATAGATCTTAACTACCTAGGAGATCTAGCCAGCATTGAAAGGGTTATTCTAACTGTCTGCTAAACTTTACGACCTTATGCTGCACTCTGAGGAATTCTGTTCTCTGTGTGAAAAGTTTCACTTTCAGCCTGTGTTAAGGATACCTCATAAATCGTAGAAGTCTTGACAGATAATGAGCTATTTAGCCATTGAAACGTAATACCCATTTCTTTGTATTGCATATCGTTTTATACTGAATATTCATTGATTATTGTTATGCATGTTACATATATTATTATTATTAATTTGTCATATAAATAAAAATCTATTTTTATACATTGTGATTATTTATATGAAATACATTCCACTTAACACGATAAACGTTCTTTGGGATCTGAGAATTGAATTAGTGGGCAATTCTCACTGTTACTATTATTATCCCATAAATATCCCCACATATTGGAGGCACGGTGCTGAGATCGTTTAAGTTGAAATTGTATTTCATATATAATAATAATATTGGTGTAATTCATGCAATTTAATCTTGATATAGAAAAGAGTTTTGTATTGAGATTAAATCACTGTATAGAAATATGGCTGAATCTAGCGCTTCATCTCAATCAGAGAATGGGAAGAAGTTAGCGGAAATGCAAGGTTTTCCCTTAAGCATCATATATCAGTATCTAAATATTAAAGTTGATTATCCAGAGTGGATACTCCAAATAAAAAAACAGGTTGATGATTCAATTCATGATAGATCGGCTGATTCACCTATGGTTAAATATCTTAGCCATATAGATGAAGAGTCTACAATGCGATCTGTTACCAATTCATGCCCGTTTTTCATATTGGGTTATTCTATTATGTTAAAAAAGCATAATGAGATAGAACGTAAATTGGACGAGTGTCAGAAAGACCTGGTGCTCGAACAAGGAAGGTTCAAAACTTTGTCTGATGAAAATAATCTCCTTCAGGTTCTAAACTCTGACCTTTTGAATAAACTGGAAAGAATGAACAAAATGGTGGATGATTATGATCAACAGATAAAACAGATACAGATGCAGCTAGATGAATATCAAAAGGGAAGTGAAGGATTACTGGGAAAAGACCCAAGTGATTCTTTTCAATTTCCTGATATTCACACACCAGACCAGGTTTTCATAAAACAGTCTCTAAGAAAAGATGTGAGTAATTCTGAGAAAACACCTGTAGATTCTTGGCAATCTTGGGCAGAACAGTTTGAAAAGACTGTCCTGGCCAAGCTTGACAGAAGGAATCAGATTCAAGGTGATAGGAATGAAAACAGACATGGTTCTGTACACTGGCAGGATTCTGATGCAGATCAGAATTGTGACAGTGAACAAGAAGCTCAGAGTGATGGGAGTGAAAGTGATTGCACTGTCCACTCTGAAGGCCATGTAACTGATATGCCATCTGCACTGTTGTACGGGTCTAATTCCTCTTCAGCAGACAGATCACATAGACGTTTACCCAAACACAGAAACAGAGGTCGTAAATCAACGATGCCTGTTTATGAAACACCAAAGGTCATCAAATTCCTTAGAGAGACTGTCCCACAATTTTCTAGAGGTTCAGGAAACATATCTGAACATCTGGAAAATTATGATAGAGCAATGAATTCATTGGGCATGTATGATGACATTCATAAGAAATGGTTCATTACATGGACCTTTGATTCAATGTGCCGTGTTTATCTAGAAAGTCTTCAAGCTATACAGTTAATGTCCTGGTCCAAGATGAAATATGAAATAATCATGGAATATGGTAAGTATAAAACTATTGCCTCTGCAAAGAGGGCGCTTTATAACTTAAAGTGCCGTCCAGATCAAAGCCCCAGAGAATTTTTAATAATTCTTAAAAATGCATACTCCGTGGCCCAAAGAAAACCCAGGTATGAAAGCACAGACTTCAAAGATCTGTATTTTCATGCCATGCCAGTAAACATACAAATGAATCTCGCAAGAGATTACGATTGTAAGTTACCATTAGAATGGCTAGTCAGTCAGTGCATGAAATTGTATACTGTACACCATGCACATGACGAAAATCAGCCAAAGGTTAAGAAACCTGGTGATAAAATGGTGTCAGAGACTAAAATTCAGTTAGTTTAGAAACCCAACAGAAAAAGAGGACCTATTCCGAGGTTTTGAAAACACCAAAACCTCAGAAACAGGAAAATGCCGGAAGCAATTCTGCAAATTCCTCTAATAACTCTGAAAAATCCAATGCCAATGGGAATAAACACCCCTGGGTTAATAAAAACCAAGGCAATTCTCAATGGAGAAGGAATCCTCAGGGAAACAGGAGATATGGAAACAGAAACAACCAATCTGCTTCCAATAACTCCCAACAGTCTCAGCCATCCCAGCCAAATTCTAATGGGCAAAGACAAAACGGCAATGGGGGAAATAATTTACGTCGTCAGGTTGGTCAATTGACAGACCAGATGGGCAAATTAATGGAGGAAATGACAAAGATCAACCAAGTCTTTGCTCTCAATCCTTTTTTAGGGATAGCTCCAATTGCAGAACTACCTGTGCAACCGCAGCAACAACAGCAGGTGCCGCAGCAATAATAGCCACTGTGACTAAACAGGCTAGGTTATCAGTAGATGTAATGCCTAACCCTGTTTCCTTTCCAGGTACTAACAGTCAAACAAACAATAGTTGTGTTAGGAAACCTATTGCCTATCCCGTCACTTCACTTTCGGGTGAAGGAGGCGCAACGTGTTCCTCTGTTTTTTCATTTCAGCCAAAGGCTAAAATAGCCCCAGCAACCACTAGTTTCCAGGATCCAGACCTGAAAGGGTTAACTGATGAGATGCCGACCACTAGTTCCCGCTTGACAGTTCAAGATATTCCTAAGAAGGATGGGCCTGTGGGTAAGACTGAGCATTCCTCAGTACAGGTAGAAACTACTGCTGTGACCGGTAACGTATGGAAAACAAGTAATATGTTGACACATTCTAAATTCTTATGTGAATTAGAAGAACATGAAGGAAGGTACTACATGTCTGTAGAAATACAGGATTCACTACCCCAGCCTTTTAAAGGGTTAATAGATACTGGTTCACAAGCCACTATCTTATCCAATACCTACTTCCAGCAGGTAATGGAATTAGCAACGGATAAGCCGAAGCTAAGAGATTTCCCCAATGCTCTGTTGAGTGTAGGAGGAAATGCCCTTCATGTTATTGGCAATACCTGGTTAAAGTTTAAAATAGGTAACAAAACCTTTAGACACCCGGTGATAGTGGTAGATCTCCCCTATGACCGACTGATTCTGGGTATAGACATACTTAGAAGACTTAACACGATTATTGACTGTGTAAATGGAATTGTATGGTCACAAGCTAAGGTTCCCATAACCTATGAGAAATCACATGTACAATCTGATCGTAACTGCCAAGTGATAGAAGAAAGACCTGACTCAATTGAGGTACATTTTAGAAATAGTCAGTCACCTGACGTGACTATCCTGCAGGTGAATGATGCAATCGCACCTGTAGATGAGCATTCCGTAAGAATTGCTCCAGAGAGGATCCAGAATGTCTCTCTGGAAGGTGATGTTTTAACCATTTCTCTCCACAGGGACTATGTTGAATCTGTAGATCTGGCAGGTCATGCTCAATTCCTTGCCAGAATTGAAAGGGTTAATAACAACCTATTCTTTCCTATGCAAATAAATGACTTAGGAAGAAGTAGGAATGCAAAGCTGGACTTACAGAGTGAGAACAGCTATATTAGCAGAAGTCTGTTAAAGCAGATCGCTAATCCTAAAATGATCAGGTACGCTTCCCCACATGACAGGTGGATCCAGAATCTGGATGGCGAATCAGAGAGTCACAATGTGATAGCAAAATGTTTACTATCTATTTCCATCGGAAATAAGACCGTTAAACATTTATTCTTAGTGATAAATGAACCTCGCTATCAGGTTTACGTTGGCAATGATGTCATACATCGCTTTGCCATACACCTTGACCTGATTAATTCCAACTTGTGGACAAGGTTAAAAGGTAATCCTTGTGGATACCTACACGAGGAAAATGCCCTGAAATCAGGACAAATACTCCCATATGCGGTAAGTATCCAAGTTCCTGATGACATAACCATTCCACAGGGGACAAGTAATTTTCTTTTACCCCTACAGGTCAAGAAGGGTCAGAGATTGGAAAACTCTGATGCCCTAATCTGTTTATCCAACAAAATACAACAATTAGGGATGGTGGTAACACATACACCAATGGTAAGTATTGGTAAGAATCCCACCTATATCATGGTCAACAATGTTACACCCAATAGTATTACTTTACCAAAAGGAACATTATTAGGTCTAGCATTGGATGCTGAGTACTATACATTTGGTTTCCAAAACCAAATTATAGGCCTCATCCCTGAAGAATACTTAACTGAGGACGAAATTGTCCATCAAATATTCCATTCCTCCCCAGAAGGATTATTTACTATCCTATCTGTGTATCCCTTCAATGTTGAAGAAGGCTCGTGTAAAATCGAAGAAGCATCAATCACCTTCGATCATCCGCTCGATGAGCAGGAATCACAAGAGTATCTCGACCAAAGAGAAAAGGTAAGTCAACACCGAACTGACCTAACTTCTAGGCTTGAAGAAGCTTATGAGATAGGCCAGCCTGAAATCTTTCCAGGATTTCAGGAAAGGCTAGAAGAGCAAATATCTTTAGCTGACGGTTGCTCCAACGATGCTGAGCGGCAACAGCTAAAGGAAATCCTTTTGGAATTCCAAGATATTTTTGCCAAAGATTCCTACGACTGTGGGTTAACTAACCTCCACGTAGCCAGAATACAAACTGATCCAAATTTACCACCTGTATTTATCAAACAATATAGACTCCCATTAGCGTCATATGATGGTCTACAAGACATCATTCAGAATTTAAAGGAAAGGGGCATTATACGTCCAGTGCACAGTTCGTATAATAATCCGATCTTGGGGATTCTGAAACCTAATGGACAATGGCGTTTATGCGCTGACTTACGACAGCTAAATAAACGCGTCTATATGTCTGGTTGGCCAACGCCATACATAGACCAATGTTTGGTACAAATGCAGGGATCCAAAATATTCACTGCCATTGACTGTGCGCAGGGATATTGGACTGTACCAATCCATAATGAAGACCAATACAAATTGGCCTTCACATTTGGAAAGCAGCAGTATACCTGGACCCGTATGCCTTTCGGTTACATAAACTCTGGTCATGAATTTGCTGTGTTCATGCATAAAGCTATGCCTGACGCACTCGAGAGAGGAACGTTATCATATGTCGACGATGTCTTGCTGAAAAGCACTTCCTTTGATAAGCATATCTTAGAGATTAGACATGTTCTCACTCAGTTAAGAGAGGCAGGGATTAAACTGTCTTTACAAAAGGCACAATGGTGTCGCACCCATGTCAATTTCCTCGGACATGAGGTAACTTCTGAAGGATTAAATCCCCAGAGGAAGAAGGTTGAAGCCGTACTAAAGGCTAAAACACCTTCAAACATCAGGGAATTAAGATCGTTCCTTGGTATGACTAACTACTCCCGTAAGTTTATAGATAACTATGCAGAAATAACTAAACCACTCTTACACCTGCTTAAAAAGGAAACTACCTGGAACTGGGGGAGCCTCAGGACCAAGCGGTAAGTGAACTGAGGAGGAAGCTCACTCAGGCACCCTGTTTAGCATACCCAGAGGGGGGTAAACCCTTCTATCTGGAGACAGGATATACCAATTTAAGCATAAGTGCTGTTCTGTATCAGAAGCAGGACAGTTTAAACAAAGTTATTGCATATGCTAGCAAGACTTTGTCACCTGTTGAAGTTAAATTCAACACGTGTGAGAAGGCGTTATTGTCGACTGTCTGGGCACTACAAAATTTTCGTAGCTATATCCAAGGTGAGAAAATAATTGTAGAAACAGCTCACCAACCTCTACAGTATCTGCAGAGTGAAAGAATTAGAGACGGTAATCTCTCTAACAGTCGGATTACTGCATGGACTCTATCCTTACAGGGATGGCCGTTAGAAGTCCGTTATAAACATAATAAGAGAAGCCCAGTTGCCCAAGGTTTAGCAGAATTACATGACTGTACTGCTCCATCTCTGGATGATAATGACACCGGAGATGACTTCCTAGAAGAGCAATTGCTATCCCCTTATAAAGTTTATGACGAGGAATACTGTCGACCACTACCGTGGGTATACATTGATGGTTGTTCATATCACCACGTTGTTGGTGCTGAACGGAAGTTAGTTGCAGGTATCGGAATCGCCTGGATAGGTGATTATCCCAATGTATCTATAGGATACAATATTGGTGCCAAAAGCAGTCAGATAGCCGAACTCTGTGCAGTATATAAGACCATTCAAATGGCAATAGAATATGGTATCAAAGAATTTGTTATCATAACTGATTCCAACTATGTTCGCAACAGTTTCGTCGAATATCTGCCTAGCTGGAAACGTAACCAAATGCTGAAAAGCAATAACAAACCTGTTAAACATGGGAAATTGTTTTGTAAAATCGATGAGCTGGTTAAGGAAAATGGTTTATCCATATATTGGAAGAAAACCAAAGGCCATTCTAAAATAGAAGGTATTGACAAGGATGGTAATGACTTAGCCGATTCACTGGCAAAACAAGCTGCCATCAATGGTGAAACCCTAAACATTGATGATCTTATGGGTTCAATTCATGTTGAAGCCATAACTAGACGACAGGCTAGAGATAATGCCGACTTAAACGTCGTGCAATGGAGTCAAGAAGCTCCTAGTGAGGACCTGATTACTAGTCAAAAGAATGATCCCGTCATAGGCATATTCTATAAACATATAGAAGACCCTACTGCCAATCCCATCACAGATGAGGATTGCAAAATAATGAAGATTTACGAATCTTGATGAGATATAAAGTCCAATTTAGTATCATGGATGGGTTACTGGTCAGAACTTCTAAACATGGTATACAACAATGGGTAGTCCCAACTGTATACAGAGGGTTAATGCTCCAACACGCACATGATGCACCTACATCTGGGCATCGTGGTGATAAGATCACATATGAGATATTGCGTGATTATGCATATTGGCCACACATGTTAAGGGATGTTAAGACATACTGTCAGGGATGCTTGATTTGTCCGCAATATCAACCCCATGGTCCAACCCATCGTGCACCACTTCAGAAGAGGGGGGTGTCATTACCCTGGTCTGATATTCAAATTGACTTTATAGGTCCTGTAACAAGATCTTCAAGAGGTAACAAATACATGTTAACCGTTACATGTATGTACACAAAGTGGATAGAATGTTTGCCTTGTAAAGAGAACACGAGTACCGTGTGCGCCACTTTGTTGATTAACCATGTCTTTTCCAGGTTCGGTCTGCCTCAAAGAATTGAGTCAGACAGAGGTAGTCATTTTACCAGCGAAGTAATGGCTAAGATGTGGAACATTCTAGGTGTTAAACGAAAGCTACATATTGCATACCGCGCTGCGTCTAGCGGGGGGGTAGAGCGATATAACCAGTCTATCGTTAATATTCTAAAGAAATATGTTAAGGAGTCTGGTAAAGACTGGGACATTAAATTGCCCCTAGTTTTAATGGCGATTAGAGCTACACCTAGCACTGCTACCAAATTGTCACCTTTTGAATTGATGACAGGAAGAAAGATGGTTTTACCACAGCATTTACTATATCGTACTTCGGATCATAACTTGATCAATGCTGCCACTACGCATCAGTATATCGAAGATTTGCGCAAGCATTTACAGCATGCGTTTGCTTTTGCCCAAAAGAATCTAGAAAAAGCAGCGACACCTATTACGCCTATTACAATCTAAAAACCACGAAAAAGGAATATGAGATAACAGATCAAGTCTATCTGTATAACTTTGCGCGAAATCAAGTAAAGGAAAAGAAATTTTTACCTTCTTGGAAAGGGCCATATGTCATCATTGACAAAATTTCCCCAGTAGCGTATAAGATAAAAATTCCTAAGGATGGTGATTTTATTGAAAAGTGGGTTCACATTAACCAGTTGCGTGCTTGTCATCCTAAATCTCAATTAAGGATTATAGGTGTGGATTCGGATGCAGAAGGATGAACGACTAACCTAGATGAATGCTTGATTCACGTGGTATAGTATGATGTGAAATGTTATGATGTGCCATGATCTCATGTACGTTCATGTCATTAACCATTTCCTTGCCATCCAATAACTACATTTTATAAGCAGGTTACTAGCTTGTTTAACTGCTATAGGCAAATTGCTGAAGAGTCAGTAATAAATGTAGTGAGGGATGAAGTTATAAAAATAGAATTAGAGAGAATACATATGTTGATGAATCGTAATAATGTGTTGTCCTAGGCCAAGTGATGTCACACTGTTATAAGTTTGTATGCTTAACAAACCTTGAATCATTAGTAGATAAGTCTGAAACGAGTTCCTGATCCGTGACTGTCGAAAGATGTCCAAGAAGGATGTGGCGTGTTTCTGGATCGTACTGCTCCTGTGCCAAGAGCTACGGACCGACCCGATCGCAGAGATGGGACCATCCTCCGGCATCCTGATTCAAGAGACACCAGGGTTCATCTTGACCGAGAAGAGGATCCTGACCCGACGTGTGTTCGTCAGCTTGGACCCCAAGATTTCCATCGAGAAGGCATACAACATTTCATCGATGCAGCTTCCTGAGTTACAGACTTGGTACCAGATGCACCTCCAAAGAGCACAGGACCGTGTGCGAAACATCTTGGAGCAAGCCCGGAAACCATTTGTATCCAGTTCTATTCCGATGAGCAACCGACCCAAAAGGTTCCTCACCGCTATAATTGTTGCATTAGTTTGTGCCACTGTCGGTGCAGTTGTCGCAACTGGAATGTCTGCAGCCAACTCTATTACTGTCCAAAAGCTGGATATGGAAATCTATGCGCTAAAGCAACACATTAACGATATTCATCAGGTGATACAACAGCAAAGAACACTTCTCCAAGACGTGTTAACTATTGTGGAAGACACAGTTGTTACAACAAATTTGCATTCAGAGTTAATTGCCAAATCCACTGAGTTGCACCAAAGTCATGACTTATTCAAGCGTGAACTTTTATTTCTGCATGACCCAATATTGTTCCACACACTTGCTTTTCTTGACGAAGTGCAAACTGGAATGATCGAATTGGCAGGGGGACGCATACCTCTGTACTTTGTATCCAAGGATATTGTTCATGCGATGCTTGCCAATGTGGATGGAGAGACAATTGAGCCTATGCAATTAAATCTGGCCTTTGAGATGGGGAGCGCTATACCTCTCTTAATAAATCCGGAACGTATGGAGATTTGCTTTTTATTGACCATACCATATGTAACTCCCAAAGACATTTTTCAAATGAAAATAATGTACTATGTTAATAATGATATTATGGTTGATTGTACTAAGTGTAAAGTTCAAAACTTTTACAGGTACAAATATATACAAAAATGTTCATTCCACGCACGGGCCTATGTTAGAAATGATGTGATTGCACAATATGTCTAGTAACTTCTATAGTGCTTATTCATAAGCTAAATTAATTTTGGCTATGAAATGCACTAAAGGGGGGTTATGTCAGAGTATTTATATCGGCAGACATTTTGTGCAATGATAGAAACTAAAAGTGTATATTCTGAGTCACTCTGAACAGATCAGACTCCATTTTGTTATTTCAAGTTAACAGAAAGACACTATATTTCTATCTGTAAGCTAACCACTTTCCCAGAGCTGAGGAATGCATAGTATATACAAGCCAAGTGATAAGGAAGGGGGTTGGACAGATTGTCTAATGCTAAAAGAATATAATCAAATCTAAACCCAGACAATTGTGACAGAGAAGATTAAATAATAAAATTTAACTGTCTATATATATATAAGGTACCATTGTATGGAAAAGGGTAAACTTAGTTCATGATCTGTCATATCAGAAATTATAGCAGATTTGCAGACACATAGTCTGGACAAAATTTAAGAACCCCTTTGATCTTTGAAGGATACGTAAGTTATAGCCACTATCTAGATAGGCCAAAATGACGTCAAAATAGCCACCAGGAAAAGTTAACTCTTTCCTGGATAGGTATGTTTAGTGGGACAAGACTGCCCTCTACAGACCAAATAACTAATTTGCGATCTGGAAGATAACCACACCTCTAGTGCTTCTATTGGGTTATCAACTGATGACGTACAGAGAGTCTGGCCCTTTAAAAGTTAAGACAAAGGGAAGATAGAGAGATACACGAGAGGAGAGATGCAAGATATGCAAAGGAGAGGAGAGAGGAATTGGAAGTTTGGGGATTCCAACTCGGACAACATCTGAGACTAACACTCTACTCCTAAAACTCTAACACTTAGAATTTACTGACTTTCTAACCAACACCTCCATGCAGAGAGACTACCAATCGGATGAAATATCTACTCAACTGGTAATTATACTGGTTTCATTTAATTAATTAAATTAATTAAAATGTATTAATAGCATTATATATGACTGGATAAAGCACGGTCAGATTTCCATATTAAGAAATCTTAGTTAACTAAAAGAATATATAGTTATAAACATTCCATTCTGCAGGTGGAATTAAGAATAATTATATATTGATGTGATATTATCACGTGTTAGCATACCGCTGTTTTTATCCAGGTGTATTGATTTGCTCTAAATTAAGATAGATATCTTTTAGACAAATTAAAAATCTGCTTATATAATGTAGTAAATTCTCTTATTGGATGATTTTAAGAAAATGACTAGTGAACTGGTTTAAATGTTATTTTATTTAAAAATTACATAGGAATAGATCTTAACTACCTAGGAGATCTAGCCAGCATTGAAAGGGTTATTCTAACTGTCTGCTAAACTTTACGACCTTACGCTGCACTCTGAGGAATTCTGTTCTTCGCTGTGAAAAGTTTCACTTTCAGCCTGTGTTAAAGATAGTCATAAATAATTCTTGACAGGAAATGCTATTTAGCCATTGAAACGTAATACCCATTTCTTTGTATTGCATATCGTTTTATACTGAATATTCATTGATTATTGTTATGCATGTTACATATATTATTATTAATTAATTTGTCAAATAAATAAAAATCTATTTTTATACATTGTGATTATTTATATGAAATACTTTCCACTTAACACGATAAACGTTCTTTGGGATCTGAGAATTGAATTAGTGGGCAATTCTCACTGTTTACTATTATTATCCCATAAATATCCCCACACATGCTATGCATGATGACATCCAGCGTCACCTGAATCCCCACTCGAAAGTATTAAATAATGCTTTCCTAGGGGGAGATCCTAATGCGAGCGCGACCATTGCCGCTCATGCACATTAGGTCTCCTGCTGGCTTACATCGGCGGGGGAGGAGCGTGGGCGGAGCTGAGTCAACACCGAAGGACACTGGCGCTGGAGCCAGGTAAGTGACAGAAGGGATTGTTAATCCCTTCTGCTCCACGGGGTGGGCCTTGACGGAAGGGGAAACTGTAGTGCCAGGAAAACGAGTTTGCTTCCCTTTAAGGTAGACATATTGATGGATGAGGGAAGTACTAGTTGAGGTGGACAGACGATTAGATGGGTGTGTGAAGTACTAGTTAAGGCTTATAGATTGTAATGTCTTACTTTGTATATGAATGATGTGCTGAAAGTCTCCCATGATACCATTCCATGTTCCATGAGCTCCGAGATGGCTCTCAGAGTGTGAGCCATGACATCTCCCTCCCTGTAACGACATGGAAGAAACATTCAGCTGGCGTCTTTAACACAAGGCAAAAGGGCAGCTGCCCCTCGGCTCCTGTAATCTCTAGTGGCCCCTCTTCTCCTGACTGCCACTGAAGGTTCTGGCTCATGTGGAACCACAGGTGGTAGTGCACTATTTATTACAATTTGCACTGACGATTTTAATCAAAGGATACTAGTGAAAAGCCAACTCTCACAAGTCATTGCATATCTATTCATAAAAGAAGAAAAAATTTAGCGAAACCATTTTTTAAATACCAATTTAAGACTAATTCAAAGTTGAAAAATTAAACAAAAACATTATTCATGTAATGATAAAAATCCATATCTTCAATCAGATAATGAGTTATTTCAAGTAGGGAAAAACTTAGGACTTTGGGGACAATCACACCCTGATTAGGATGTGCTTGGGCACACCCCTTGCGCACTCACATGGGTGTAACACAGTTGTGATGGGTCACGCAGTGTGTATGGTTCTTTTCTGCGGCCGGTAATATCAAGATTTCATAATAAGGTCCCAGTGAGTGTGGCAAGTATATACTATTCTAAGCTTGCACAGCACCCAACTATTAAACACAAAGTTAATAATCAGGTTTAGACGTGTCTAATGATTACATTCATCCATTACTCGCTGCGTCCATATTTGATCTTAGACATCAGCTGCCACATGGACTATGTGGGTGCCAGGAAACCTCAATGAAGATTGAGTTTAGCCATCTCAAGGCTTTGTCATTTTGAAATGCTATGCAGCCAGAGGCGTAACTAGAAACCACCGGGCCCTGGTACGAAAACTGCCCTGGGGCCCCCCCAATGTGTCTCATTCCTCCCCCCGGCCTCCACGTGTCTCATTCTTCCCCCTTAGCCTCTCCATGTGTTTCACCCCCCCCTTTGTCCCTCCACGTGTCTCATTCTCCCACTCAGTCTCTCCCACATCCCCTTTCTTGTGTTTATCTCCCCCCCCCAGCCAGCCCCTCCATCATACTCCCTGCCCTCACCATCCCCTCCATCATACCCTGCCCTCCTCCCCAGCCCCTCCGTCATGCTCACCCTCTCCCCAGCCCCTCCGTCACGCTCTCCCCCGTCTACAGCCCCTCCATCTTGCTCTGCTGCATCCCCTGCCCCTCCATGATGCTCACCCCCTCTCCAGCCCCTCATTGATGCCCTCCACTCTCCTGCCTCCATGATGCCCACCCTCTCCCCAGCCCCTCCATCATGCTCTCAGCGTCTCCAGCCCCTCCATCATGCTCTCGCATCCCTGCCCCTCCATGATCACCCCCTTCTCAGCCCCTCATTGATGCTCTTTCCCCTGCCCTCCGTAGTGCCCACCCTCTCTCCCCAACCCCTCCATCATGCTCTCCCCGTCTACAGCCTCCATCTTGCTCTACGCATCCCCTGCCCTCATGGTCTCACCCTCTCCAGCCCTCATTGATGCTCTCGGCTCTCCCTGCCCTCATGATGCCCACCACTCTCCCAGCCCCTCCATCATGCTCTTACCCCATCTCCAGCCCCTCCATCATGCTCTACATCCCTGCCCTCCATGATGCTCACCCCTTCTCCAGCCCCTCATTGATGCTCTCCCCTGCCCTCCATGATGCCCACCCTCTCCCCAGCCCCTCCATCTTGCTCCCTCCCTCCATCATGCTCTACCGCATCTCCTGCCCCTCCATGATGCTCACCCCCCTTCTCCAGCCCCTCATTGATGCTCTCCCCCCTCCCCTGCTCTCCATGATGCTCACCCTCTCCCCAGCCCCTCCATCATGCTCTCTTCCCTCCCCAGCCCCTCCATGACTTCCTCCTCCTTACCTGCTCGGCACATGCAGTTCCCGGTCTGCCAGGAAGTGCTCTTAGTGAGCACTCCTTGTCAGACTGTGCACTGGTCAGCCATGCTACACACTGTGCTGTGTGCTCCCCTCCTGCCGGTTTCCAGGCAACCGCAGGCCCCGGGCCAGTTGCGCTGTGCATTGGCCCTGAAGTGATGTGGGTGGCCCACGGTCACAGTTGCAACCCCTGCGACTGTGGTAGTTCCCCCACCGTATGCAGCCTACTAGTGAATGTTAACTTGGTTTTTCATGCACAAGAATGCCTATTTTATAACAATCTCCCAAATAAAATGAAAAAGACATGTTGATGAATGGAAAACACATTGGTCTTACTACTACAATGTAGCTTCAGTAAAGCAAACCACATCAGATTCAAATCTCACCCTTCCTCCTCCTCCACAATCCTGGATAGGATAGAGAGGCCATCACGACTGATGAATTCCTGAGCGAATGTGACATCTCTCGATAGATTAGCTAGCTTCTTCAGAGATTCAGATTTCACATCTAGGTTATGGCTCTGTGCTCCAGTGCAAAGACTGATGGCCTCCTTGTCCTGTAAGGGAGGGGCAGATAAAACCACAGATAACACGGTGTATACTGCAAGAGCAGAGGCATGAAGACAATCTCGAGATACATTGGCCAAGAGCATGATTATAAAACCACATCATTTCAATCAAGAGCATCATGAAAGACTGAATTAGAACCAAACTGGATGAATGAATTGATAAGTGAAGTGTGACAGACCCTCTGGTCACCTACACCGGGTACATGTCTCCCTGACCCTCCACTTCCTCCAAAAAGACTATATGAGTATGGACTAATCCCCAACCCATGTCTTACTGCCCAGCACCCCTTTCTGGTTATCCACAAGAGCTCATTTGTCACTCCAAGGGGCGCTGAGACATGGTGCGCCTGACCGGAAGACTCTATACTACTCAGTAGCGGATAGCAGAGTTGCCGCGGTCTGCTGCTACTTTTGAACAGAGCGCTTTCGGTCCCAGGACATTCAATCAGCTCTTTGGAGGGTAACAGAAGAGGCGGAGAGGCATTGAACAACACCAAGAACTTGGGGGAGCTCCATGTACTCACGGAAAGTGCAGTGACTTAAGGTGACCAGGAACCTCTACCAATAACTCTGGAGCCCTGCACCGGATAGATGGCTAGCTGAAACTTTCAACTTCCACCTAATTCGGGCTAGCCATATCTGATCTGGGTGCTCTTTGGACATGATGGGTGCTCCAGAGAGAGCTTTCTGGGGATGTAGGGCATGTGTTGGTGCTTCTCATTTTTATGTATGTATTTTCAAGGTTTTTCATATGTTGGTTCTCTGTGTTCTGTAGGAAATTAGTTTAACAGAGAGCTGACTCCATTATCTCCAATACACGCGTGGGCGGGTTTATGATGTACTCAATGGAGACCCCATGCTGGGGATTTGTGTAAAGTCAGTGTGCCTTGACCTAATAAAACCGTTCTTCTTCACGAGGTCTCAACTAGTGTTTGGGTGAGACAGCGGGATCCTGTGCAGGAGCTATTCACAATGGGGAAGGGACAATTTAAGTGGTAGTAACCCATCTTCTCAAAGGTATATCGTCACATGAAGTATGAATGTCACATCGTTTCAACAGATTTTATTAGTAAATGCCGTAGTAATGATATAATGGATGATAAACTCCCTTTTTTTTTTTTACTTTTAACCTTTGCAGGGGTAACTCTTCTGTAAAAAAAATGCAACAGGATGGGAATGCTGCATGTTTCGTTTTATGGACGAAATTTATGAAGAGTTTGTTGTCTATGGATATTTCGTCAGTATTTGTACATTGTATCAGGACTGAATTGCTTGTTACTGATCTAAAGTGTGTGCCTATCACAACTGGGAATGGTTCTGGTTCTGAGACACTGGATCACTAAAAACTGAGCTATCTCATTTCACAAAGTAAAGCAGAGTTGTGTTATAAAAACCAAGAGCTATATAAAACGGGATAAATAAACCAAGAGCTATATAAAACGGGATAAATAAACCAAGAGCTATATAAAACGGGGAAATATGAAACCGGGTTAATAAAGCCAAGGGCAACATAAAACCACATTAAAGGGAAACTTTAAGCACCAAAACAGCTTGAGTTTGAAGTAGTTTTGGTGTGTAGATCATGAATCTGTAGTGTTTTCAAAATGGGATTAGATTAAGTGTTTAGGAAGGCTGTGTCAGTCGCATGCAGGTAGGTGTGCTTAGAGCTGTATAAACAAAGTGATTTAACTCCTAAATTGCAGAGAATTGAGCAGTGAGACTGCAGGGACATTATTATATTTATACAGCGCCAACAAATTCCATAGCGCTTTACAATGAGTGGACTAACATGTAATTGTAACCAGACAAGTTTGATGGACAGGAACAGAGGGATTGAGGCCTGCTCAGTGAGTTTACATGTTAGAAGGAGTGGGGTATAGTGACAGTAACAGAGGGATTGAGGGCCCTGCTCAGTGAGTTTACATGTTAGAGGGAGTGGGGTATAGTGACAGTAACAGAGGGATTGAGGGCCCTGCTCAGTGAGTTTACATGTTAGAGGGGGTGGGGTATAGTGACACAGTAACAGAGGGATTGAGGGCCCTGCTCAGTGAGTTTACATGTTAGAGGGAGTGGGGTATAGTGACACAGTAACAGAGGGATTGAGGGCCCTGCTCAGTGAGTTTGCATGTTAGAGGGAGTGGGGTATAGTGACACAGTAACAGAGGGATTGGGGGTCTGCTCAGTGAGTTTACATGTTAGAGGGAGTGGGGTATAGTGACACAGTAACAGAGGGATTGAGGGCCCTGCTCAGTGAGTTTACATGTTAGAGGGAGTGGGGTATAGTGACACAGTAACAGAGGGATTGAGGGCTCTGCTCAGTGAGTT